TATAATGTACGTATATAAAAATTATATACATTACGTGTTTATGATTGACGTAAGTATTCCAATATTTAAACACTTAAGAGCACGAGTTAAGAAAAAGAAAAGATACATTGTTTGACAATGTTCAACAATATTACGACATTATGTCTCTCCTCGTCAAGTAATATTTAAAACATCTTTTTGAAGTATAAAGATATATAAATCTATAAAAGCGTATGAAGATGGTTACGTATGCAAATGACTAACTTCCCGGCCCGGAGGAATGAACAGAATAACAGGAGAATTCCATAAGATTTATACTAAGCTTTTTTTTATTAATTCCTATTAGTATCTAATCAACTAACTGAAAATTCCAAGATGAACAAGATTACCATCATACTAAGCACGTTTTAGTTTCATGCCTTCACGCTGGTGGAGTTTCATTCGTTTTGACGCGTTGATTACCAGTACAGCTGTTTTTTCATTACAAGACAATGAAATTTTGTACAAAGACTTATTATTTTGTAGATTTATATATTTTTATACTTAAATAATTATTTTAAATATAACTTGAAGGAGACAGATATAGTGGCGAAATATTGTTTAATATTTTCCAACACTATTTTTTTTGGCCTTTTCTTTTCTTAAATCGCGTTTTCTCTTAAGTGTTATTAATAATAAATAGTAATTTCTGATCTTTGGTCTCAGGTTGGAACTCGGGAGGAAATCTGCATACAACAGAAATCAAAGGAAATAATAATAATAATAATAGTCGTTTTTCTTTTACAAAAATGACCAGTGGGAAATCTCCTGAAGACATTTCTGTCCTTAGGTCTCTTGTTGGGACCCGAAAGGAAATGTGTATACAATAGAAATCCAAGGAAATAATAATAATAATAATAATAATAATCTTTTTCCTTTTATAAAAATGATCAGTGGGAAATCTTCTGAAGCCATTTCTGACCTTAGGTCACTTGTTGGGACCCGAAAGGAAATGTGTATACAATAGAAATCCAAGGAAATACTACTACTACTACTACTACTACTACTAATAATAATAATAATCTTTTTTTTAAAAATAATCAGTGGGAAATCTCCTGAAGCCATTTCTGACCTGAGGTCACTTGTTGGGACCCGGAAGGAAATGAATATACAACAGAAATCAAAGGAAATAATAATAATAATAATAATAATAATAATAATAATAATAATATTTGTTTCTTTTGCAAAATTGATCAGTGGTAAATGTCATGAAGCTATTTCTGATCTTAGGTCTCTGGTTGGGACCCGGGAGGAAATGAATATACACCCGAAATCAAAGGAAATAATAATAATAATAATAATAATAATAAAAAATACAAGGACCTTGAAATAGAAATCTCGAAAATGTGGCATATGGGAACATCAACAATCCCTGTTGTAGTTGGAGCCCTAGGACTGGTTGGAAAAGATTGCAGTAGACTAATTGAAGGGATACCTGGAAGTCCATGCCTAAAGGAGATACAAAAAATTGTTCTGACAAGTACAGCCCACACTTTACGAAGGGCTTTATCTATGTAATTTTTTTTTCTTTTTTTTTTGTCAGTGGAAAGTGTCATGATGCCATTTCTAACCTTAGGTCCCTGGGCGGGACCCGGAAAGAAATGTGTCAACGCCAGAAATCAAATAAAATCAAATAATAATAATATTAGTAATGGGCCATCCATTAAAGAACATGGAAAAATAAAAATATGTAAGATCTTAAAATGTTAAAATGGTACCTTAAAGCTACTGTTATACCTATAGTAATTTGAGCACTTGGTACGTCCAAGAAAAGTATAGATAAGAACGTTTAAAAGATGCCTGGTAGCCCCTATTTATAAAAAAAAATTCAAAACACTGCCCTGTGTGAAAACTGCACATCTATTCAGCAGAGATTCATCAATGCAAAGACAATAATATCATCTTAAATTTAACCATAACTTAGATATCGAATATTAGGACTACTACTACAGCTACTACTACTATGACAGCAACTACCACTGCTAATAATATTAATAATTGTTTTACGGATTATCACGCCGCGGTGTGTTATTTAAAACCAAAACACATTTTAGATTTTAGGAGGTTGCTTACAGTACATGGTGTTCCGAAACAGTCCCTCATATAAATACTGACTGGGCTGAATACTGCTTAACTACGGTGATCAAAAAACATTCAAAACACTGCTCTGTGTGAAAACTGCTCATCTACTCAGCAGAGTATCATCAATACAAAGACAAAAATAACATCTTAATTTTTAGCTTAACTTACTTCTCAAATAATGATTCCATAAGAGTCTGTAAGGAAAATATTAATTGGTTTGTTTTTATTTTCGTTGCTAGCGGCTTTTTGCTTAATGAAGCCGAAACAAGCAAACATATCCTTCGCTTGTCACAGGTGATTGATTATAAAACATATGCAGGTGAAACAGATTTTTTGAATAATAATAATAATAATAATAATAATAATAATAAATCGAAATCTCAAAAAGATGTGGCATATGGAAACATCAACAATCCCTGTTGAAGTTGGAGTTCTAGGATTGGTTGGAAAAGATTCCAATAGACTCATTGAAGGGATTCCTGGAAGTCCATGCCTCAAAGAGATACAAAAAAATGTTCTCACAAGTACAGCTCACACTTTACGAAGGGCTTTATCTATGTAATATATATATATATATATATATATATATATATATATATATATATATATATATATTTGTTAGTGGAAGTGGCATGATGCCATTTCTAACCTTAGGTCTCAAGGGATCCGGAAAGAAATGTGTACACACCAGAAATCAAAGGAAATGAAATAATAATAATAAAAGTGCCTCCTTATTTATATGGCAGTTTTGCTGACTGCAATGTATCTTTGAAAATATTCAAAAAGCTGTTAAAATACAAGGACATTGAAATAGAAATTAAAAATGTGGCATATGGGAACATCAACACTTCTTTTTGTAGTTGGAGCCCTAGGATTGGTTGGAAAAGATTCCAGTAGACTAACTGAAGGGATTCCTGGAAGTCGATGCCTCAAGGAGATACAAAATATTGTTCTGACAAGTACAGCCCACACTTTACAAAAGGTTTTATCTATGTCATTTTTTTTTTCAGTAGAAAGTGTCATGATGCTATTTCTAACCTTAGGTCCCTGGGCGAGACCCGGAAAGAAATGTGTAAATGCCAGAAATCAAAGAAAATACAAACCACACGAATAATAATATATAAAGAATGGTGACGATTAGATAGGACAGCATATTTATTGGAAGATCTCACTGTTAGTGTATGCCAGATCTTGGAAAATGGTATAAAAAACCCGCTTGACCAGCCATAGAAGGCCATGAATTCACCATTCCTTCACCATTCCTTGATACTTTACCATTCTTACAGACAGGCTTATCAAAACTAATAGAACACACAAAGAGGATAATATCTACAAACAAAAATTCTTTCTCGTAAATATGACATTGCCTTCAGATAAATTATATCTGTTAAGGGATATGATGAAAGAAGTGTGTATAAAAATCTTAAAATTTAAAAAAAAAATGTGGTATCTTAAAACTACAGTTATACCTATAATAATTGGAGCACTCGGTACGATCAAGAAAGGTACAAAAAAGAACATTAATGAAATCCATGATAATCCCTGTTTACAGGAGTTTTTAAAAAAGCACTGTTTGGAAGTGTTCACCTTAGGAGAATATTATCAATGTTAAACATTGAGTGGTTTGTTGTTTTACGGATTATCACCCCACATTGGGTTATTCAAAACCAAAACATATTTTGGATTATAGGAGGTTTCTTACAGTACACGGTGTTCCGAAACAGCCCCCGCCCCCATATAAGTAATGACCGGGATGGATACTGCTTAACTACGGTGATAAAAAAAATGTATGTTTTCTGCGTGATTTAACAGTCAGCCAATATGACAAAAACATAAACACTGTACATGTTAAGTAGCACTTAACATCAGAATTTGTGCAAACAGAATGCATATGTTTAGTTACCTTGCCTTACCCAAGGCCTCAGGTAATATACTGACCCGATAAGGCATTGTATTAAACAGAAAACAAAAGATAATAATAATAATAATAATAATAATAATAATAATAATAATAATAATAATAAGAAGAAGAAGAAGAAGAAGAGGAAGAAGCAGCAAAATTGTTGAAGAGATTGCTGTGTGTAATTTGATTATTTTATTTGACGTGTAAACAGTGACAGGCTGGTTTGGCCAACGTCGCGGTACTGGCTATGTTCTGGAACCAGCCAAGGCGAATGCGTCGCCAAGGGCAGATCGAAGAAGAAGAAGGCGAGACATGGGGGTGGTGAAAGAGTCAGTAGTCGGAAGAATCGATTCTGGCATCGCATTGGCAACAGACACTAGGAAGGTGTGATTCGGTATCGCCTCTCTAAGGTGTGATTCGAACGGATTGGGCGGAGTTAACTTGGCCTTCCTCAGGCCCTCCTACGATCTATCTATCTATCTATCTATCTATCTATCTATCTATCTATCTATCTAAATTTGTTCATATCTATTTATCAAAATATGTTCATTATCTATCTATCTATCTATCTATCTATCTATCTATCTATCTATCTCATCATCTCAGTCTTTTCATATCTATCTATCTATCTATCTATCTATCTATCTATCTATCTATCTCATCATCTCAGTCTTTTCATATCTATCTATCTATCTATCTATCTATCTATCTATCTATCTATCTATCTATCTCATCATCTCAGTCTTTTCATATCTATCTATCTATCTATCTATCTATCTATCTATCTCATCATCTCAGTCTTTTCATATCTATCTATCTATCTATCTATCTATCTATCTCATCATCTCAGTCTTTTCATATCTATCTATCTATCTATCTATCTATCTATCTATCTATCTATCTCATCATCTCAGTCTTTTCATAATCTGTTCTATCTATCTATCTATCTATCTATCTATCTATCTATCTAAATCTGTTCATATCTATTTATCAAAATATGTTCGTATCTATCTATCTATCTATCTATCTATCTATCTATCTAAATCTGTTCATATCTATTTATCAAAATATGTTCGTATCTATCTATCTATCTTATCGTCTCGGTATTATCATATCTATTTATCTTATCGTTTCCGTCTTTTCATATCTATCTATCTATCTATCTATCTATCTATCTATCTATCTATCTCAGTCTGCTTATATCTATCTATCTAGCTATATCAGTCTGTTTATATCTATCTCAGTCTGTTCATATCTATCTATCTATCTATCTATCTATCTACTTCCCTACCTGCCTGTCTAGCCACTTCAACGTTGTGCAATGGTTAGCAAGCCTGTTTCGCTTGATCAATTACGACTGAATAGTGAGTTCGAACCTCATAGCGTGCCCCATACTTTCGGCCTTGTACCGCATCTAGTCTACGCTTTTTCATATTTATCTCTCTCAGGATTCTTATTATCTATCCTTGTATTGCATCTGAAACTATTTTCTTCACATTTTCCTGGTTATTCCCCCTTGACTCTCTCTCTCACTCTCTCTATATATATATATATATATATATATATATATATATATATATATACATATATATATATATATATATATATATATATATATATATATATATATAAATCTGTTCATATATATTTATCAAAATATGTTCGTATATATATATATATATATATATATATATATATATATATATATATATATATATTAATAGTAATAGGTCGATATGGACAAAGATCTATCTCTCTCTCTAGCTATATTTATATCTATATCTACATCTCTCTCTCTCTCTCTCTCTCTCTCTCTATATATATATATATATATATATATATATATATCGGTTTCTTATCCATTTACATATGTCTCTACCAGACTGTTTATATCTGTCCCAGACTATTGGTTTCTTTTTATCTATCTCACTCTTTTTCTATCTATCTATCTATCTATCTATCTATCTATCTATAACATGCTGTTCATATCTATCTATCTATGTATCTATGTATCTATCTATCTATCTATCTATCTATCTATTTACATCTATTATCTAAACATTAAAACAGCATAATCGCATATTAAGATTTTTGTTTTTTCAGTATATTTTTCTTCACACTGTCGGATCTATATTCATATATTTGCTTATATATATATATATATATATATATATATATATATATATATATATATATCAGGTTTTAGGAATGAGTCTCGTAACTGACCAAGGAATACTACATGGACTGCAGTCATAACATCAGTGCTGTGTCTAGGGCAAGATAACTTGATGAAAACCTTCTCTTCAGGATGGTTTTGAATTCAGTATTTTTACTTTCTTTTCCACCTCATAAAAAGGATCTCACTCCCCTTACTATTTAATCCAGAGAAGATATGGCTTTTCCAAGGTTGTGTGTGTAAAGGGGACCGTAGTAAACTCGCCTGCAATTCGAACTCGGAACTCTGGCTTTTCTTTCTGATCTGCTGACCGTTAAACACACTTAGGAGCAATAGCGCGAACGGAATTTAAGTGGAAGATAAATTCTGAGCAAAGATCAAAGAAAAAAAAATCTTGAAAAAAAAAAATGAAGATTTTGGTGCCGACTCGATTTTTAAGAGACTCACCATGAGGAGTTTGGCAAATTACACAGACAATGAACTGGGTACCTGAAGTATCGAAAACAGCCGTTCAGTTCCCGACATCATGTCAGGTAACTCTCATCTAGTACTGGTGCAGAAACCACATTTGCTTAAGCGGTATCAAGAAACCAGATGTCAGTGGACAGAGATGATCCTCAAAGAGCACCCTGATCTCTAGGATCGGATCAGGATAGACGAAAAGATCTTCCTTCTTGATGAGCCTGGACACAACACGTTTGGTACGATCAGACCATAAAGGGCACTCGAGGCATGAAACAGACAATTACCATGCAGTGTTTATTCCTCTGTCTATTTCTACCTCCCTCTCACTCTTCCTCTCTCTGTATATATATATATATATATATATATATATATAATTATTTATTCGAAAATTATAACATAAATATATTATAAAATCACAACAAAAATAGCCATTTTGTTTCAACACCTCTGATGTCTAATCAAGTGATGGTGTTGAATGTAGAATAAAGGGTTTTAAAAGGTTCAAATTGACCAAACACCTCTCGATAGGGGAAATGCTTTTACATAAGCTGCAATGACCAATCAAAATACAAGTATATGAGAATTCAAAAAAGTTGACAACGAACTAAGGTTATAATAACTATTTAATGCCTTAATGTTGGGAGCACACGAACTTTATGGATACCTGTATATATATATATATATATATATATATATATATATATATATATATATATATATATATGTGTAAGCAAATATATGGATATAGATCCGACAGTATGAAGAAAAATGTACTGAAAAAACAAGCAAAAATTCTAATATGCAATTATGCTGTTTTAATGTTTAATGTCAACGTCGGACGTTTCGGTCTAATAGACCATCTTCAGGACATATTCATAAAACATAATTAACATTGACCATATACAATTCAACATGAAAAAGACGAGGGACATAAAAGCAATACCAATTCAAACAGATAACTGAAATCTTTTATAAGATCAGCGTTCCTTTTAAATATGATCACGTCGTCGTCACGTGGGCGATGTTGTGAAAACGTATTTCTAAAATTTGAGTATTTTGAATGAAAAACGAAAAGAATTTTATTTTGATCTAAAACTTATATGTACGTTTGTGGAAATATTAAAGAAGCCAGGTCTAGTGTTCTGGCTTCTTTAATATTTCCCCTTTTCTAGCAAGATTAATGCTCGACATTATATATATATATATATATATATATATATATATATGAATGAGATAACGATATATATTTTTATATATAAAGAACAATATTGGAGAAAAATGTATGGCGTTTCGTCTTTTAGGAATTCATCGGATTAAATTTGTTATGTTGGTACCACTACACATGTCGACGAACCAGGAAAGCCGGGAATTTTAAATTTAATATTTTTGTTTTTAATTTTAAATCTAGCCGATTTCGTTTAGATTTTTTTTCTTTTTGTTTCCATCACTTTTGTTATTTGATATTCCACACTTAAATCGGCTAGATTAAAAAAATAAAATAAAATTTTAAATTCCTAGCATTTCTCGTTTCATGCAAAACGCACTTCTCAGGCCATATGCGTTGTGTTTTTTGCTCGACTATTGATATATACAAGTCAATGATGCATTGTGGATAGTCTATTGTATTACTCTATTTATACTTTGAATCATTCAAGGCGATACTGAGTGGGAATAATTGTGGATTCAGATGCAGTTTTTGGTGCTATTTGTAGTATTGTTTGTTAACTTTTGCTTCTTTATTGTTAGTTGTTATTATTACTTTTATTTGTGTTTATGCGTATGTGTGAGTTCGAGGTTTGTTAATTTGTTTATTATTTACTTAGTTTATTTACTTATTTATTGGTTTGGATTAATTTATTTTACTTATTTTTGTTTATTCATTTTATTTTGTTTTATATTATTTTGTTTATACTTGTTCATTTCCAGTTTTCGACTTTTAAGCAACGTAGTAAAAATTTGTTTTTGTCTCTGCGTTTTGAGATTAGTTTTGATCGTTTATTTAGCAGTTTGTATTAGTCTGGGAAGGTAATTATGGCTATTGTCTCTTCCAGACAGAGTTTGCAGTTTTTGGATTTATTGTTGTAGGCTGATGCTCTTTTCCTTATTTTCCCATGATATTTTTGGTGTGATTTGATTTTTGTTTTTAATCTCCCAGATATTTTTAGAAAGCATCGTGCTATTCATGCGTATTTCCTATTTAAATAGTATATATATATATATATATATATATATATATATATATATATGACAATAGGAATACTGTAATAGTTGCCGGCGCATTTCGTCCAATATGGACTTTCTCAAAGTAAAACACGAAATGAATTTATTTAAATAAAGTAACTAATAATAACAATAACAAAATGTCCTTAGTAACTGGAAGAATTTAGAGAACGCTATTTTCATACTGTTAATTGAAAATTACGTCAATTACTGTCACGTGTGGAGATATTGTTATTATTGCTGTGTTGACTGATTCAACCATTTTCTTTTGATTTTACGATATTGTTGAGTACGTTTGTTTGGGAGAGTAGTAAATCTGTTAAGGAATGGGAAATAGGGAAAAAGTCTGGGCGTAGATTAATATTTAATATTTCTATTTACATTTATAAATATTGTCTTTTCTACAGGTTACAGAGAAATTTTTTCATATATATATATATATATATATATATATATATATATATATATATATATATATATATTGTCGAGTAATTTCTAGGAATACCCAACAAACAGAATTGATAAATTTTGCAATAGACAATAAAACGAGAAGGAAAAAAACAAGGCAAAAAATAATATTAATCAAATAATATATATGCAAGATAAAAGTAAGCAAGGCAGCAGTAATGTGGCAAGTAGGTTCACAAACTAAGTATGGTGTTAACACATAAAAGGGGATACAGACAAGTGATAGCAGCGTTCTGATTTCAAGGCAAGAAAAAACACAAATATATCGGTTGGTTTGTTTGTTATTTTTACTTTAAAGCTTATTTAATGCCGAAATCTAAATATAATGTACACAGTTCTCTTTTATTTTGGGAAATAATAATGGTTTAGTGACACAAGTCTTACTACTTAACCCATAGTTGGGGGAGAAGAGGTAGATTCATAGCTTTCCCAAGGCTATTTGCGCACAAGTGAATTTAATGACCTCAACTAGAACTCGTCTCTCCGATTAACAATTTCGAGCCATTAGACATTACACCACCCACACATTCAAACTTAGAGTATCTGGTATTTCCAAGCGGTCACCCATCTAGGTATTGGCCAGGCTCGACTTTGCTTAACTTCGGTGATCGTACGGGAACCGTTGTTTTAACATGGTGCAGCCGTAAGCCTGAAATATATTGGATGTGACCGAGAAGTGGCCTATCTTATTGGCTACGAAGAAATCCCAGCATGCATCTGTAGGATTTGTTTATAAATTTCGGGAGGGGTGTGTTTTTGCAATCATTCCAGTCAAGATCGGAAGTAAAAACCCTCAACGAAGCAGATCAGTGCACCCATCCCCCCCCATTTCCCCTCTATTGGGGGCAATAAATACAAACAGGATACGTATAATTATTTAGAATTGTTTTTGCAATATTTCTCGATTTGTTTAATATATTTTAATATTTCAAAATGTCTTTTTTTTATATTTATTATTTTTTTGTGTATTTTAAACAATTTTTTAAATTAAAAAAACGTATAAGAAAAAATGATGTTAAAAGTTGGTTGAACGCTCGCTTTCCGACAATAACATTTGACCCGGGTTCGAATCTCACCATAGTTGATTCGCCAGTTAATAAGGGGCTGTTGATGTTATGGGCTGGGGAAGGAAGTACCCGACGACCACAGCACCAGATGGACCCAAAACTTATAAGTGAAATTAGGTAGACGAAACAGTCAAAAGCCTTCAGTGCGATGTCAAAAATCCCGAGTCTTTCAGCGCACTGGCCTGAGAAGGCGTCTGCACCAGGGATTAACAAGCCGACATAAAAGACGGGTGTGCTCAGTAAGGCAGACATCTAGAGGGTCTGTTTACGAAACTCTGGAGTCGGGATGCTGACGGTAACATTAAGCAGCTAAATGAAAAACTTTATTATATATATATATATATATATATATATATATATATATATATACAGGGTGTTCATAAATTTCTTGTGTGCACTTAAAAAAAAATTTATAACTTAATTTGTATTTGCGATAGAAATAATTTGTAAAAAGGATTAGATTTAAGGTTTTATTGAAATTTTATTTAAGTTTCCACATGTCCTCCATCATTAGCAATACAAAAGGGTAATACGATTTTGCAGTTGACAAAAAACATTTGCCAACTGATTTACAGTAATGCCTGAAATCACATTAGTTATTTTAGCTATACTTAAGTCTAGGTACATTAAACTTTGTAACATTTTTACAGATTATTTCTATCGCAAATCCAAATGAAGTTATAAGTTTTTAAAGTACACACGAACTTTATGGACACCTGTATATATATATATATATATATATATATATATATATATATATATATTATATATATTTTATATTTATATATATATATATATCCTAGTAAAAAAAAAATATATATATATATTTTATATATATATATATATCCCAGTAAAAAAAATAAAACTAATTATATATCTTATTAAATTTAACACAACCAACTTACGTAATGACTCGCATTGTTTTGGAAAAGATCAACATTGTATATCAGTTTAAATGTCCTTTAGGAGATTGTATCTCTGACAAAAAAAGTTAAGTACATATGTTGGTTTGGCAATCACAATATTCTCGAGATATCTTGTAGTTGATTTGTTGGATACAAGTTCTATTACACAACATCTAAAATCACATTCCTGTCCTCCTTTACAATATAGGAAAAATACTCGTTGACCACACTAATATAACGAAAATAATAAACAAAAATTTCAAAATCTCAAGGCCCTGTATATCAAAATCAACCCCCTAAGACTCAACAAAATTTATTACGAGTGTAGTAGCCACACGTTGAAGTGCATTTAATGTCATTTGCACTTCTACCAATTAGTACACACACGCATATATATTTATCATACTTAAGTAATTCATCGAGTCTAGAAGAAACCTCAACAGAACGCACTGGACGGCCGTTTCGTCCTATATTTGCGACTCATCAGAAGTGCGCATCCATCACCGAGAATTGAAACCCGAACAGTTACGATAGGAGGCAAACGCCATACTAACCGTACCAACGGTTCTCGGTGACGAAGGGGTAATGAATCAGACTTGATATAGCGTTGCTCGATCACATATTCCGTAGTTTCTCTTTTACCCATAAGACTGTGGCCCCACGAGCCACGACTACTATCCCCAAGCCGCTCAATCCAGAGCCTTAGAAGCCGGTTCAAGCAAGGATATACATATATATTGAGTCTAATTCGCTACCTCTTCGTCACCGAGAACCGTTGGTACAGTTGGTATGATGTTTGCCTCCTATCGTTTCAATTCTCGGTAGTGGATGCGCACTGCTGATGAGTCCCAAATGTAGGACGAAACGGCCGTCCAGTGCTTTCTGCATTCTGTTGAGGTTTCTTCTAGACTCGATGAATTACTTAATTATGATTACTTCTCCTAATATATCCTCCTAATTATTTCTCTCTCTCTCTCTCTCTATATATATATATGTTCAAATAGGTTTGGTTAAATGTCATGTCGATTAGTTTTTGTTGTGATCCTTTCAAGTTAGTTGATTAATGTTTTGGTAGATTTAGAAAATTGATTATTATGGTATGGCGGATTCCATCTGCAATGGTCAGAAGAAGAAGAACAGTTAATCGACTAAACATAATTGTGAAAAATCATATTGAAAACAAATATCCTTTGATAGATGTTGTAGAATGGAGTTTTGAAACAAGGCAAACACAAGGACCTCGCGATAGAAATTAGTAGGTGGCATCTCAAGACAGCAACCTTAACTGTTGTTATTTGGGGCTTTTGAAGTGATAGCAAATATGTGGATCAGATTCCTTCCTGGTAGCCATAAAGATATGCACGAAAATCATACTCATGGGCAATTCTCATATTTTGCGTAAATTTCCCTCCATGCAGTGACCACAATTAGAGATTGTTTCTCTCTAATTGCATGAGACATCACCTATATGTATCTTCTAGTAGAAAATAAGGCATGCTGTCTCTTGAAGTATCTAATTGGGGCAACCCGTACAACATAAAGCAAAGACCTATCACAATAATAATAATAATAATAATAATAATAATAATAATAATAATAAGAAGAAGAAGAAGAAGAAGAAGAAATACAGAAAATGTTCTCACGAAAGGCTTTATCTATATAAAATATGTTTTTTTTTTTAATTGCTCAGTGGAAAATGTCATGATGCCATTTCTAACCTTAGGTCTCTGGGCGGGATCCAGAAAGAAATGTGTACACACCAGAAATCAAAGGAAATGAAATAATAATAATAATAATTATCATTACTATAATAATAATAATAATAATAAAAGTGCCTCCTTATTTATATGGCAGTTTTGCTGACTGCAATGTATCTTTGAAGATATTCAAAAAGCTGTTAAAATACCAGGACCTTGAAATAGAAATCTCAAAAATGTGGCATATGGGAACATCAACACTTCCTTTTGTAGTTGGAGCCCTAGGATTGGTTGGAAAAGATTCCAGTAGATTAATTGAAGGGATTCCTGGAAGTCCATGCCTCACAGAGATACAAAAAATTGTTCTGACAAGTACATCCCACACTTACTACGTAATATTTTTTTTTGTCAGTGGAAAGTGTCGTGATGCCATCTCTAACCTTAGGTCCCTGGGCGGGACCCGGAAAGAAATGTGTAAACGTCAGAAATCAAAGAAAATAATAATAATAATAATAATAATAATAAAAATACAAAAAAAAAATGTTCTCACATGTACAGCCCACACCTTACGAAGGGCTTTATCCATATAAAATATGTTTGTATTTTTTTTTTATTGGTCAGTAGAAAATGTCACGATGCCATTTCTAACCTTAGGTCTCTGGGCGGGACCCGGAATGAAATGAGTACACACAAGAAATCAAAGGAAATATTAATAATAATAATAATGGCTGGTGCCAATAGTGCACTTGCAACGACATGATAGGGCTGCTTAGTATATGCATTGGTGAATATATCGGGCATTCAACCTGACTCGGAATGAGAACTGATGGGAAAGTAAGGAAACACAATTGTACAAAATGATGAAGTTACTATACTCTGGGATTTCAGCGCCCAGACTGATAGGGAAATTCAGGCAAATAGACCAAACATAATTGTGAAAAATCATATCGAAAGCAAAATGTCTTCTGATAGATGTTGCGTGCCCAGCCGGCAAAAACGTATGAGAAACAAAGTAAATACAAGGGACCACGATATAGAAATTACTAGAAGGCGGCATCTCAAGACAACAATGTTTCACTGTCTCACTGTTGTTATCTGAGGCTTTGGAACTGATAACAGATATCTGGATCAAATTCCTGCTCGTCTAAAAATATGTAAATTGCCACCTCCTCCGCGCAAAAAAAAAAATTCATAGTCTAGTGTAGTTCTCACATTTTGCGTAGATTTTTTTTTCCATGCAGTGACCATAATTATGCATTTATTTCTCTCTAATTGCACGTGTCCCCATCTGTTTGTATCTTCTGGTACCAAAAAAAAAAAAAAACACTTGTCTCTTGAAGTCACTGTTTGAGTCTTAGGGCAACTCGTACTACACAAAGCAAAAGCGAAAGCGAATGATACTACTACTACTACTACTACTACTAATAATAATTCTTTAGAGGTTATAGGCAAAAGGAACAGAATAATGGAATCATCGAGTTGGCGTTCGCTGGTCAATCATTAAGGCCATGAAAGAAAGAACTAATAAGCCATATTCTAAACAAGGAACAAGGTGTAAATCTCTACCCCAGTCCAACAGACCAGGGGCAGTAGGGAACTAGATGATAACTATATATATATATATATATATATATATATATATATATATATATAAATATAAAAGTGAGCATAAGTCAACACTTAGGCGGAAGTCTGTTTCATGCTAGATGCAATCGTCAGGCCACGAGTGCCTGACGATTGCGTCTAGCATGAAACAGACTGTCGCCTCTAATGTTGACGTCTATGTTCACTTTTATATTTACAGAACATCTCTGATATTGAGCAGTTTATCCATAAATATAGAACATCTTAAGACTATTCTTTATATATATATATATATATATATATATATATATATATATATAATACATGAATATATATATATATATATATATGTGTGTGTGTATATATATGGCTGAATATATATATATATATATATATATATATATATATATATATATATATATTAAGTATATAGCTATATGGCTATTTAATAAATGCTTGCAACTTATCCTCTTAAAATGTCGAGTCAATATGTCAAGTGCTAACTTGTCAACAGTAGAATTTCGAGCAAGCTGTTATTGTTATTATTATTATTATTATTATTATTATTATTATTTCAGCGTACATTTTTAAAAAAGTTTTTTCATAATTTTGTGATTTTTCTTTTTTCCAATACAGCCATCATTTCTCCGTCCCAATTTATTTGTTCAGTAAGCTTGAAATTATATCCGACATGTTTTTTATTCCCGGTACAACTAAATTCTTATATTTTTTTATATACCCCCATCCAATTCTTTGTCTACTCAGAGTTCTTCTTCTCGAATCTGTCGACCGAGTTATGTATTTTTATTTACTTTATTCTGTTTCTCCTTCCAATGTTCACACCCGCCTTTTCTGACCCCGGACATCAGGTGATAAAAACAGATGCCTCTGTCATTAAAATGGATATTTTTATCAAAACTTACAAACTTCCGTTCATATCTCGCGTAAAGTTTTTTTTTTTTTTTTTTTTTAATTATCTTTTATCCGTTTTTTGGGGGAGTGGGTGTTTTTTATTTCATTCTTTTTCTTTCTTTTTTCTTTCGTTTAGACATTCGTTCTCTTTTTTCTTTCATATCTCTTGCAATCATCTTCTAGCGTACATTTTGTCTTTCATTCGCTTTTTTTTTCTTTCTTTCTTTCTTTCTTTCTTTCTTTTTTCTTTCCTTTCTACGTTTGTTCTCTTTTTTCTTTCATATCTCTTGCAATCATCTTCTAGCGTACATTTTGTCTTTCATTCGCTTTTTTCTTTCTTTCTTTCTTTCTTTCTTTCTTTCTTTCCTTTCTACGTTTGTTCTCTTTTTTCTTTCATATCTCTTGCAATCATCTTCTAGCGTACATTTTGTCTTTCATTCCTTTTTTCTTTCTTTCTTTTTCTTTCTTTTTTTTCTTCCCTTTTTTACGTTTGTTCTCTTTTTCTTTTCATATCTCTTTGCAATCATCTTCTAGCGTACATTTTGTCTTTCATTCTTTTTTTTTTCTTTTCTTTCTTTCTTTCTTTCTTTCTTTCTTTCTTTCTTTCTTTCTTTCCTTTCTACGTTTTTCTTTTTTTCTTTTCATATTCTTATTCATCGCCTATCGTACATTTTGTCTTTCATTCGTTTTTCTTTCTTTGGTTCGTTATCTTTTTTCTTTCATATTTCTTGCAATCACTTTATATCGCAAATTTTGTCTTTCATTCTATTTTTCTTTGTTTGTTCCTTTTCTTTTCTTTCTTTTTTTCTTTTTTTTTTGGTTTTTCGTTCGTTCTTTTTCTTCATTTGCAGTTCTTTTTTCTTTTCTTTTTTTTTCTTTCGTTCATTTCTTTTCCTTTTTCTGTTGCAACTATTTTTCTTTCATTCTCATTTTCTTTCTTTATTTTCCACATTTTCTTTGATTCTTTTTTACTTTCTTTTTCTGTTATTTTTCTTTCATTTTATTTTTTATCTTTTATTTTTCATTCTCACATCTCTCTCTTCGTCATTTTAATTTATATTTTTTCCGCTTTCGCTTCTCTTTTTCTATACAAATTTTCTACAAATTTTGCTTTCCATTGTATCCCATTCCTTATTTCTTATATTTTATTATTTTCATACAAGATTCCCTCAATTCTAATTTTGTCGGCATCCATTTTTTAAACACATCCGCCATCTTAATACTTCTATCTTCTTCTGCATGTCTGCATTTTCTATTTAAGGTGCTTTATTTTCGTTGTGCTTGCTTCTTTCCCATTTATCTAGCCCAATTTCGATCTGTCGCGTTTTTCATTTTTTTTTATATATTCAATATCTTTTTCTATTCGGTTAGTCAAGCTGTCATTTATTCCTAAGCTCAGTCTTTTTTATTTTTTTTACCTTTTTTTTAAACTAAACCTCTTCTCATACCGAATTTAAACGGCTTCTATCACACCCCAGTAAATCACACGGTCAGTCGGTGGCTTTGTTACTATCTATCTATCTATCTAGCATCCCAGTTTTTACATATCTATCTAAATATGTTCATATCTATTCATCATCAAAATATGTTCTTTATCTATCTATCTATCTATCTATCTATCTATCTATCTATCTATCTCTTTTCATAACTATCTATCTTATCATTTCAGTCTTTTCATATCTATCTATCTATCTATCTATCTATCTATCTATCTATCTATCTATCTATCTCATCATCTCACTCTTTTCATACCTATTTATCTTATCATTTCAGTCTTTTCATATCTATCTATCTATCTATCTATCTATCTATCTATCTATCTCAGTCTGTTCATATCTATCTATCTATCTATCTATCTATCTATCTATCTATCTATCTCAGTCTGTTCATATCTATCTATCTATCTATCTATCTATCTATCTATCTCAGTCTGTTCATATCTATCTATCTATCTATCTATTTATCTATTTCATCCATTTCACTCTTTTCATAACCATCTGTCTTATCATTTCAGTCTTTTCATATCTATCTATCTATCTATCTATCTATCTATCTATCTATCTATCTATCTATCTCACTTTGTTCCTTAGCCTGTTTTGTATCTTTTCTCTCATCCTCCTCTCTCTCTCTCTCTCTCTCTCTCTCTATATATATATATATATATATATATATATATATATATATATATAAGTCTATTCTTATCTGTCTCAACCCATCAAAATCTTTCTCCCTTTCTGCATTCTTCGTTCTTCTAATATATTTCCGTATTATCCCCCCACTCCCTCACTTGCCCTCACCACGTCATTTCCGTAACTCTTTTGCGCCCTCCTTTCCAAAACTTTCCTTTTCTCTTTTTCCCCTACAGCTCGGTCGCCTCGTCCAGCAAACCTCTTTCTGCTTCACATGGCAACACCGCAATTCCCTTCTATCTTGGGCCTTGTTTCATTTTCTTGTGACCTCTCTAATGTCATCTGACCACCTTGACGTCATCGGACTGGAGTTTAGGTGTGAACAAGGCCCGGAATAACAATTTCAGGTAAATTGGGAAGCCAAATCTGAAGGACAGCAATAAATTATCAGCGCTTTATTATTATTATCATTATTATTATCATTATTATTATTATTATTATTATTATTATTATTATTATTATTATTACTATTATTATTATTATTATTATTATTACCTTCTTGCTTTTGCTTTCATTATAGTAGAGTCCTTTACCGGGTCATCACCTGTGAGGTAGGATAAGGCAAGGTAACTAAACATATGCATTCTGTTTGCACAAATTCTGATGTTAAGTGCTACTTAACTTGTACAGTGTTTATGTTTTTGTCATATTGGCTGACTGTTAAATCACGCAGAAAACATACATTTTTTTATCACCAGAGTTAAGCAGTATCCATCCCGCTCATTATTTATAGGGGGGGCTGTTTCGGAACACCGTGTACTGTAAGAAACCTCCTATAATCCAAAATATGTTTTGGTTTTAAATAACCCAACATGGTGTGATAATCCGTAAAACAACAAACCACTCAATGTTTAACATTGATAATATTCTCCTAAGGTGAACACTTCCAAACAGTGCTTTTTTTTAAACTCTTATAAATAGGAATTATCATGGATCTCGTTCTTCTTTGTACCTTTCTTTATCGTACCGAGTGCTCCAGTTATTATAGGTATAACCGCAGTTTTAAGATACCACACTTTTCTCGACATTGATGTGACTTTCCCGAGTAGATGAACAGTTTCACACTCCTATTCTCCCAAGCTATGGGTTAAATAGTAGAGAGCACTGAGCTCATCGGACTTTTTTGGTAATCAGTCTAGGAGAAAGACAACAATGAACTAAAAAGAAAAAAAACTGTATTTAGTCCTGGCGAAGAACACACTATAGACAGATTAACAAGATAGATAGATAGATAGATAGATAGATAGATAGATAGATATGAACGGAATGAGATAAATGGATAGATTATTTCAATCTATTATAGATTATCCTCAAAGACTTTACTTATTATTATTATTATTATTTTATTTTTATTTCTCTTTCTTTAGTACAGTCCCTTCGGGTCATCACCCGTGACCTAGGGTAACGCAAGGTATCTAAACATATGTATTCTGTTTACACATGTTCTGATGTTAAGTGCTACTTAACATGTACAGTGCTTATATATTCTTGATATTGATGAATAGATGAGGAGTTTCATATTCCTCTTCTCCCAATCTATGGGTTAAATAGGAGAGAGGACTGGGCTCACCGGTCTTTGTAGGCAACCACTCTAGGAGAAGGACAACTCTGAACTAAAAAAAAAACTGTATGTGTTTCTGATAAAGCACAAAGTATGCAGCTATTGAAAGGAACGTGGTGTTCACATTGACCCCAATGATCCCAACCGTATTTATTTAGATTTCCACTTGAAGATCCTTGAATTTTGAAGATTATTATTATTATTATTATTATTATTATTATTATTCCTTTTGCTTTCAGTGTAGTAGAGTCCTTTACCGGGTCATCACCTGTGAGCTAGAGTAAGGCAAGATAGCTAAACATATGCATTCTGTTTGCACAGATTCTGATATTAAGTGCTACTTAACATGTAGAATGTTTATATTTTTCTTTACATTGATGAGATTCCCCCGAGTAGATGAGCACTTCAGCACAATGTGCAAGATCTATTATTAACAGGGGCTGCCCGGGATTTTGTCAATATTCTTGGCTGAAATTTTCTTGATCATAAACACGACTCCAATTAGTATAATAATTATTTTAAAGTGAGAAATGTTTTCAATTTCCATCTCAAGATCCTTATGCTGACTTAATTGGTCGTATTCTTTTACAGAGATGTTTTTATCCGAAAACACTGCCATATTTATGACGGGGCATTGTTCTCGTAATCTTGAATTATAATGTTGGGTCTTTTTAAAAGATGATAATGCCACTAAGACGCAAGGGGCCACGGGGAGTGAAAAAGAATGAGAAGTCTTCAAAAGAAACCAGAAACCCAATCCAAAACTGGAAACAAGGGATAAATCTCTACTCCTGTTCAAAAGACAGTGGAGGAAGATAGATAGATAGATAGATAGATAGATAGATAGATAGATAGATAGATATGAACAGACTGAGATAGATAGATACGAATAGACTGAGATAGATAGATAGATAGATAGATAGATAGATAGATAGATAGATAGGAAAAGGACCAAGATAGATAGAAAGGACCAAGATAGATAGAACAGACTGGGATAGATAGATAGAACAGACTGAGATAGATAGATAGATAGATAATAGAGATGAGATAGATAGATAGATAGATACGAACAGACTGGGATAGATAGATACGAACAGACTGAGATAGATAGATAGATAGATAGATAGATAGATAGATAGATAGATAGATAGATAGATAGGAAAAGGACCAAGATAGATAGATAGATAGATAGATAGATAGATAGATAGATAGATAGATACGAACAGACTGGGATAGATAGATACGAACAGACTGAGATAGATAGATAGATAGATAGATAGATAGATAGATAGATAGATAGATAGGAAAAGGGCCAAGATAGATAGATAGATATGAACAGAAGAAGATAGATGAATAGATTATTTTAATAAATTCACCCCAAGCAAGGCCATAATGCCACTAAGAAGCAAGGGGATACTGGGAAGGAAAGAGAATAAGAAGTCTTTAGAATGAACCGGAAAACCCAATCTGAAATCGGAAAGAAAGGTTAAACCTCTACTCCTGTTCAAAAACCAGAAAAGGGAATAGATAGATAGATAGATAGATAGATATTGATTTGAGTCATAAATAATTTCCGCTTAGGGAAACAATTGTAATGACGAATGTATCCTCGTAACTACTAATCACACATGGCAGTTAAATGGATTACACTAACATAGAATAGATAGATAGATAGATAGATAGATAGATAGATAGATAGATAGATACGAACATTTTTCTATTGTTTGAAAAAGTTCTATCTGCTGAAAGTCGATGTCTGCAGTAAACATGAGACTGACTGGTAAATCTCCAAAGGTACCACACTAATGGAATCCTACGAAATGACTGCCATTTAGAGGTGTGCGTTAACTGAAGAAATTACGCAACACTTATTTTGATTACCCACACCACTTAGAACGATTACTTTGCTACTTATGTCAATGTAAAAACAATCTTACTTGGCAATAATATAAGAGATGGCTATTAAAAAGCGCTGTTGATTATTTAGGGCTAATTTGTTAATTTTTTTTAATCATTTCACCCCAGGCACAGCAATAAAGTCACTAAGACGCAAAGGGGTTACTGGATGTTAGAGAGTATGAGAAAATACTATTAAGGAGAGAAAACAATGAAAGAGACAATAATTAAGAAGACAGAAGATAGGAAATGAGACACTAAAATAAGTAACCAAATAATCGCTTCAAGTTCTCAGAATATCGGTGCCTTTAACTTGCTTGTAGCCACCGAGGCATCGTCTACGCTGATTTAGATCCTTCTATAATATTCATGTCAGGATTGTGTGCTTTCAAAAGCCTGTGTAGTCGTTTTGTAGAAATGCTCTTCATGTTGGAAGTGACAAATTGATAGAGCTTTGGATCTTGACAGCGTTGACCAAATGAACAATTATACATTTGTTAACCATGTTCTATAAAAAATATGACCAATTTAACTTACGGTTACTTAACTACAATAGTGAATGTCTACACATAAAATAGACAATTTTTTTTTTTTTATAAATAAAGCATATTTAATTTCAATGAAACCCACACCTACTTAACTTCAATAGTGAATGACCGCACATTGATGAGAGTCTCCTGAGTAGATGAGCAGTTTCATATTCCTCTTCTCCCAAGCTATGGGTTAAATAGGAGAAGAGCACTGGGCTCATCGGTTTTTGTTGGCAATCAGCTTAGGAGAAGGACAATTCGGAACTTAAAAAAAAGTATTTACCCCGGGCGAAGAACACATATCACAATATTTTTTATAAATCATATTTAATATCCTCTATAAAAAGAACATTAACGAACTCAAAAATATAAAAAAAGTCACTTCTTCTTCTTCTTGCCCTCCTCCTCTTCCTCTTCCTTCTTCTTCTTCTCCTCCTTCTTCTTCTTGTCCTCCTACTCTTCCTTCTTCTTCATCTCCTCCTCCTCCTCCTCCTTCTTCTTCTTCTTGTCCTCCTCCTGCTCCTCCTTCTCCTGCTTCTTGTTGTCCTCCTTCTCCTCTTTCTTCTTCTTCTTCTTGTCCTCCTACTCCTCCTCCTTATTCTTCTTATCCTCCTACTCTTCCTCTTCCTTCTTCTTCTTCTTCTACATGTGTCCTTTCATGACGTTGGCGATCATGAATAAATTTTGTTTTTTGTTATCTCTCCTAAACCTTGTTTCGCCACCCATTTACACAAACTCTCTAAGTAGGTTATGCATTGTTTTCCTCTGTCTCTCTTGCCTTCAATATGTCCTGTGAGTATCAATCTTTTCAAGCCCTCTTTCCTTATTGTGTGCCCTAGAAATTTCAACTGTCTCTTTCTGATGTTAAGTTTGAGTGTCCATTTGGTTTACATTTTTTTTCTAAAACTTCGTTGTTGCTCACTTGTTTGGTCCATGGTATTCTCAGCATTCTCTGTAGAATCTTTGTTTCTAAAGAAAATGTTTTGTTTCTTAACTCTTTTCTTAGCTTTTGAAAGGCATCTTTTGCTATCCCAATGCGCCTTCGGATTTCAGTGTCACACTTTCCGTCCTTTGTTAAAACACTTCCCAGATATTTAAATTTCCCGTTTCTTAATACTTTGCTTGCTTTTGGAGATTGTCCCAAAATTTCAGTGTCCACTTTGGGAGACTTGATATTTTAAATTTCCTATTTAACTTAACAGTCTTTCTATCAATACGCCTTCAGCTTTTCAGTGCTTTGTTTTCCCAGATATTTAAAGAAAATGTTTTTTACTTTTTCTTTTTTAATCTTTCCGCTATCCCAATGCGCCTTCGGTTTAAAACACTTTTTCACACTTTTCCTTTGTTTTTGAAAGGCATACTTTCCTTAGCTTTTGGAAGGCTATCCCACTTTGCGCCTTCGGATACTTTTTCAGTGTCACACTTTCCGTCCTTTGTTAAAACACTTCCCAGATATTTAAACTTTTTTAGCCCTGTTTCTTAATACATTATTTAGCTTTTGGAAGGCATGTTTCGCAATCTCAATGCGCCTTCGGATTTCGGTGTCACACTTTCCGTCCTTTGTTAAAACACTTCCCAGATATTTAAAAATTTCCCTTAGCTTTTGGAAGGTTTCACACTTTCCGTCCTTTGTTAAAAACACTTCCCAGATATTTAAATTTCCCTGCTTTCCTTAGCTTTTGGAAGGCATCTTTCGCTATCCCACTGCGCCTTCGGATTTCAGTGTCACACTTTCCGTCCTTTGTTAAAACACTTCCCAGATATTTAAATTTCCCTGTTTCTTAATACAGATATTTAAATCTTTCGCTATCCAATGCGCCTTCATTTCAGTGTCACACTTTCCTTCTTTTGTTTTCCCAGATATTTAAATTTCCCTGTTTCTTAATACTTTGAGGCATCTTTCGCTATCCCCTGCGCCTTCAGTTTCATCTTTGTTAAAACACTTCCCAGATATTTAAATTTCCCTGTTTCTTAATACTTTCCTTAGCTTTTGGAAATGCGCCTTCAGTTTCAGTGTCACACTTTCCGTCCTTTGTTAAAACACTTCCCAGATATTTAAATTTCCCTGTTTCCTTAGCTTTTAATACTGCGCCTTCAGTTTCTTTGTTAAAACACTTCCCAGATATTTAAAGCTTTTTTGAAGGCATCTTTCTACCTGCGCCTTCGGTTTCAGTGTCACACTTTATTAAACTTCCCGATATTTAAATTTCCTTGTTTCTTAAACTTTCCTTAGCTTTGGGGCATCTTCCCGGACTTTCCGTCCTTTGTTTTCCAGATATTTAAAGTGCTTTTTCAGGCACTTTTCCCGCGCCTTCGGATTTCAGTGTCTTTCCGTCCTTTGTTAAAACACTTCCCAGATATTTAAATTTCCCTGTTTCTTAATACTTTGCTTAGCTTTTGAAGGCATCTTTCGCTATCCCACTGCGCCTTCGGATTTCAGTGTCACACTTTCCGTCCTTTTGTTAAAACACTTCCCAGATATTTAAATTTCCCTGTTTAGCTTTTAATATCTTTCCTATAGCCTTTTTGTGAAGGCATTTCCCTGTTTCTTAATACTTTGCTTAGCTTTTTGGAAGGCATCTTTTGCGCCTTCGGATTTCAGTGTCACACTTTCCAGTCCTTTGTTAAAACACTTCCCAGATATTTAAATTTCCCTGTTTCTTAATACTTTCCTTAGCTTTTTGGAAGGCATCTTTCGCTATCCTGCGCCTTCGGATTTCAGTGTCACACTTTCCGTCCTTTGTTAAAACACTTCCCAGATATTTAAATTTCCCTGTAGCACTACTTTCCGATTTCAGTGTCACACTTTGTTGTTAAAACACTTCCCAGATATTTAAATTTCCTGTTTCTTAATTTAGCTTTTTTAAGGCATCTTTGCTATAGCTTTTCGGAAGGCATCTTTGTTTAAAACACTTCCCAGATATTTAAATTTCCCTGTTTCTTATCTTAGCTTTTGGAAATCTTTGCTATCCTGCGCCTTCAGTTTCAGTGTCACACTTTCCGTCCTTTGACTTCCCAGATATTTAAATTTCCTGTTTCTTAATACTTTCCTTAGCTTTTTTGGAAGGCATCTGCGCCTTCAGTTTTGTTAAAACACTTCCCAGATATTTAAATTTCCCTGTTTCTTAATACTTTTCTTGCTTTTGGAAGGCATCTTTAATCCTGCGCCTTCAGTTTCAGTGTCACACTTTCCGTCCTTAGCTTTTGGAAGGCATCTTTTATCCCTGCGAAGGTCACACTTTCCGTCCTTTGTTAAACACTTCCCAGATATTTAAATTTCCCTGTTTCTTAATACTTTCCTTAGCTTTTGGAAGGCATCTTTCGCTATCCCTGCGCCTTCAGTTCAGTGTCACCTTTCCGTCCTTTGTTTAAAACACTTCCCAGATTTCAGTGTAGCTTTTTGGAAGGCATCTTTCGCTATCCTAATGCGCCTTCAGTTTCAGTGTCACACTTTCCGTCCTTTGTTAAAACACTTCCCAGATATTTAAATTTCCCTGTTTCTTAATACTTTCCTTAGCTTTTGGAAGGCATCTTTCTATCCCACTGCGCCTTCGGAAGTGGTCCTTTGTTAAAACACTTCCCAGATATTTAAATTTCCCTGTTTCCTGTTTCTTAATACTTTCCTTAGCTTTTGGAAGGCATTTCTTTTCCTATCCTGCGCCTTCGGATTTCAGTGTCACACTTTCCGTCCTTTGTTAAAACACTTTCCTTAGCTTTTGGAAGGCAGATATTTAAATTTCCGTCCTTTGTTAAAACACTTCCCAGATATTTAATTTCCCTGTTTTTAGCTTTTTGGAAGGCATCTTTCGCTATCCCACTGCGCCTTCGGATTTCAGTGTCACACTTTCCGTCCTTTGTTAAAACACTTCCCAGATATTTAAATTTCCCTGTTTCTTAATACTTTCCTTAGCTTTTGGAAGGCAAGGCTATCCCTGCGCCTTCAGTTTCAGTTCCTTTCCGTCCTTTGTTAAAACACTTCCCAGATATTTAAATTTCCCTGTTTCTTAATACTTTCCTTAGCTTTTTTGGAAGGCATCCCAGTGTCACACTTTCCGTCCTTTGCGCTTTTGGGATAGGCTCTTTCGGATTTCAGTGCCTTCATTTCAGTGTCACTTTCCGTCCTTTGTTAAAACACTTCCCAGATATTTAAATTTCCCTGTTTCTTAATACTTTTTAGCTTTTTGGAAGGCATCTTTCGCTTTGCGAAGTGTCACACTTTCCGTCCTTTGTTAAAACACTTCCCAGATATTTAAATTTTCTGTTTCTTAAACTTTGTTTAGCTTTTGG